CTCACCCAGCATCTTTTCCGTCTTGGTGATGAGGCCGGCGCAGTACTTCTTCTGCAACTTGTCGGCGGCCGAGTTGGCCTTGCCCTTTTGGGGCTTGTTGACCTTGGATTGTTTCTTGGTCGTCTGCTTGGGCTTGCGGTGGGTGCCGGTCGTGAAGAGCTCTTGATAGGCGCCTTGTGCCATTTTGCGGGGCCTGTTCCGCTTGGTATTTTGCGAGTCCGTGGTCGAGGAATTCGAAAAATGTTTGGCAAATGATGCTGACCGATTGAATCGACCTTTTGTTGTCAAGCTGAGTAGGAGCGAATAAACAGAAGAAAATCAGCATAAACTAAAGGCGGGGCCTATCGAGAAAATTTAGTGGAACATCCTTATCTAATCGAGCATCAAGATCGGATTGCGACCAGGCCTGGGTCGGGGTCGGGGTCGCCACATGGGGAAGGGAACTGACCACATGATTCAACTACATGGAATCTTCAACTACGAGTCACGGAACACTTCAATTTTGCCGAATCCGGGAGTAAATCAAAGGGCATTCATGTCCTTTGACTATCTGAAAACACGTGGCAGACCAAGTGATTATGGTACAACGAACACCCAAGTTCCACGCGGCAGCATCGACAAGGCCCCTACAAAGCCCACAGTCAGACCCGCTCCACCCGTCGCAAACCCCCGAGTAACCGTTCGAGCATGGCTACATTGACTGGCGGACATTGTTCGCTGAATCCAGGAAGCAGATCCTCCAGCGATTCATCCGTAGTGCCCGAATCGAGGGGAAACATCACATGTCCCATTCCCAAATACTCTCTTAGTATCGTCGCCCATAACACCTCAGTCGCACCGTTAGCCTTCTTCTCCTGAGCAGCGAGTGTCTGCATCCACCTCTCTAGCGAGACTATCTCCATTTCTCTCCCATCTCCACTCAGTGCTTTCATCACGTCGGACAGATCCCGCAGCTCCAGGGGCTTGGGGTTGCTGATGTGATAAAACAACGGCTTGTCTCTCGATATCGAACAAGATTCAACGGCTGCCCTCTCTGACGTCAGGGTGAAAAGACCTCGTACCAGGTAGTCCACTGGCACCAGATCGACCGCCAACTGGGGTTGCTTGGGTGAGCCTACGGTCGGGATCATGCCAGAGTCGACCATCGCGAGTATCATGCGAAGCGCAAACTCATCGCCGGTGCTCATCAAGCTACCGTGCCATAGGTTGGTCACGGCCGAAGCCCGTGTGATGGTGACCGGGAATCCACGGGACGCTGCGCTGCATAGGAGGGCCTCTACCACCCAGAGGGACTTGAAATAGCCGTGCTGGTTCTCGGCTGGGGGTTGGAAGTGGGACATGTCGTCCTCGGTTGCTACCCAAGTGTTGAGATTTGGACTGACCAGGGACCATGATTGTAGGTGTCCGACAGACCAGGACGAAAGGTAGTGTATTTCTGAAAGATGTTCGCCTGTGCCTGCCAGCTGAATGAGATCAAGGATTGGCGTGACATTAACAGATTTCAACTGTGTGTAAGTCTTCAACAAGCAGACATGCCCCCCCAGATGGTAAATGGTCTGAACCTCACGGCCAAGCTCGAGAAACTCTGATCTGTTGAGACCTAGCCGGGGCTTCGACAGGCAGCCGTAGACACACCTCACACGCGAGAGGACATCGTCTCTGTCGAGATGGCCATTGGAGCTTATGCCCACTAAACCGTGGTTCTCCAGTAAATCCATCAAATCGTCTGTGCTCAGAGGCTTTAGGGACCCAAGCACGTAGACCACAGCATCGCGCTTGCTCACCAATATTTCCGCAAGAAGAAACAAGCCAACCGAAAGTTCGGCGCCTGTGACGAGTATCCTGTTGATGTCATCCCGATCAACACGGGGGATACTGTACTGGGGAATATATCGCGGATTGGTGGGAAGCTTCGTCTCCAAACTCCAATCTATGGTTGTGTCCTCGGTGTTACTGGCAGCACAGCCCTTATTTTGGCGAATATAGGTACAGACGGCGGCAACTGTGGGTTCCTCAATGAACTGAGACACCGGAGGTGCGATATTGAGTTTCTCTCGAATCCTGGCCTGAAGCCGGACGAGCAGGATTGAGTGGTTTCCCTCCAGAAAGCGACCATCGTCTGGATTTGGGTATTTATCTCCGAGAGTGCTGTTGAAGATAGCAGTGACTGACTTCTCTAGCCCTTCGGGTCCATTTTTGGAGAACGCGCCACCGCTTGATTGCGGTTGCGACGCGCAACATGATTTCTGCTCAACCTTGGTGAGATTGGTGCGAACCACGCGAGGGTTGATCTGCTTGTGCCTTGCAGTCAAGCCAGTGGACTCGAGCTGGCCCGCTGGGTGGAAGCTGAATCGATGGTTTCTTTGCACCATACCATTCTGTTCTCCGTGACGGCCCCTCTGAAATGCCAGCTGATCATCAATGGGCAATCGAGCAGTGGACATGGGTCCGTTGAATAATCCGGTGGTGAAACGCGGCCCGCCGACGGCCAACTCTCCAGGCATTCTGAGAAGTGTGAGGTGCCTAGATACACGGAGTTTGATGCAAAGATTGGTTATTCAAATGATTTTATGGACCGAACTGCTCGATATAAGTCGGGGTATGAGCTTACTGGGTGGTCGAGTTGAAAGATCTGACACGGGGTATGAAGATGATTTATGCCTTGGTCCACACACACACACACACAATTTGTCTACAGTATCCATGATCCGGCTTCTTCTATTTCTGAGGGTCATTACCGTAAGCTGGAGGCTTTGGACCCTGTCAAAGGAAATGACACTGGTGCCGGACTTCCCCAAAGGTCCGTCTAAGCACATGACGCCCATCCGTCATCGCAAGTACTTTACGTGACCAAGTATCCGGTCACGGTAGTCTTGAGGCCTGTAACGATTCGTTGAAGGAATGCTCCAAACAGCAAGCGAGTCCTTCGGCTCGTCCGGTTCGATGGCGTGTCAGTGCGATCATCTCTGGCAGCGCGGATATGTTGGAACATTGTTGCGCAAACACCACATCCTTGGGCACAAACATCTTTCAGTGTTAGCACTGTAGTTTTTGGTTCGGAACTTATCAAAAGCACCCTGTTTAGTTTCTTCAGCTTCTCAGAAAATCTACAAACTTCTGTTCGGTAGACTTTCAGCTGAAAGTTCTTCGACGAGGGTGTTGTGGAAGGTGAAGATGACGACCACTACTTTTCAGTCTCTGACGAGGTGGCCTGAAATATGTTCGGCCCTCAGCATCATAGACAACACCGCGGTGGCTAACATCTGGCATTGTTAACAAGAGGATGACGGAAGGCAGAAGTCTTAGTTTGCAAACCAACGTGCATTCTACGCAGTTTGACAGTATCCTGCATCCCATCAGGGCCATCCGTGTTAGGTGGTACAGAAAGGGTTGATATTTCGACGCCTGTGACTACACCATGAGTATCAATAATACCCAGACCTATGTCAGTATCAAGCGCTAGGCATGGACTATGTTAGGCATGGGGCGAGGCGATGCCAGGTGAAAGAACGCTTTTCACGTAAGTAGTACAAGTTGATGACACAATTCACCTATAAAGCTGTTAGTGTCTAGGGATATATGACTGGGCCAAAAACTAAAGTTTTCTCGATCGAATGGCTGGAAAGTTGTATCAGCATCGATATGGACATTCAAATCCGGCCGCTGAACTATCGACTGGCAACATCTTCTTGATCAGCCTATCTGAATTTTGAACCATGAAACCATGAGTCAATAAATGAGGAAGTTTTCCCATTAGGGATGATTGACGAAAAAGCGTTTCAGGACAATGTAGGGGGCATTCCTGCCCAGCAGCCGACCTTGAATATTCTTCGCCTGTGAAGACTGAAAGCTCTCATGCATGCCGTCTTGGTCAGGTCCACCTGTTTGCGTACACTTGGAGGACAAATACTTCATTGTTCGGTCACATGTTTCCGGCCATGTATTAGATGGGAACGAGGTCAGACAGGCAGCGCTTAACCGCCAGACAAGCGTGATGGTGGCTGTCAAGGCGCCCATGCCACCCGAAGACTGCTACCGATGAAATAACATCCACCGCGAAGAATGGAGCACGCAACTTACTGTATGAAATGGAACAAATGCAGAATTCAAGCAAGATCGCATACGACGTCTGGCGGCTAGGAGCAGGCCGTATGTGACCAGAAGGATTCACCACGACCTAGGCTGGTTTGTGCCACGCCAATTCGTGCACACCAGCTCATCATAGAACGTCAAGACAACGAAACCATCCAGACGAAGCGGTCAGAAATGAATTTTCTCTTGGCGACACACATTGAATTGGACAGTAGTTTCGTCAAGTTGACTGACCAGCTGAAACTGGCCGCCATTTCTTTTTACCCTCACCGGACCTCCGCTGGGGAACTCGGTACCCGTCCCTGAGCACGGCGTCCGCTGACGGCGCAATTTGGCAACGCAAGTCGGATCGACATGTGGCCCAATTTGTCCCAAAAAGACAAAGACATTGGCGTCTATTGCCGTGAGAACACATCAGTGCGCATTTGACGACCAAGGTCCGTCGAATCGAAACGGGAAGAGCCCCTAGGGAGAGACTTAGACACTGCTCAGAATCTTGCCTAGTCGGAATCCTGCTTGATAATATGCATCGGACGTTGAGACCTGGACTCCGGCTCTTCTGCTTGCCTCGGACCCGGTCCCTGTGACCCCCGTTTTGCTCGACCTCCGTCCTCCGTTCTTGACAGTTGTTGAAGCGGTTCCCCAACTACGTTTTTCCTTCTTTTACAATGTCCGGACCTGCAGCGGACAATGATGCCAACGAAGTCTGCCGCCATCATATAAATTTGAGTGCTGTCGATACACGACTGCTGAACGACTTGTTCAACAACGACTTATTCACGAATCCCGCCTTATCCGTCTTGCTTACTGTTCTCAGAAACCAACACAACATCCACGATGGCCCCTGTTGCTGCAGAAGATATTGCGCCGGACACTGCCGAGCGGCAGCAAACCCCTGACCGCTTCGACGCCGCCCGCCCATTCCTTGGCAAGGTCGCCCTCGTCACTGGATCCGGTCGTGGAATTGGCAAAGGCATTGCTCTCGAGCTTGGCAAGCGCGGCGCCAAAGTTGTTGTCAACTACGGCTCCTCCGCTGCTGCTGCCGAGCGAGTCGTTTCGGAGCTTGCAGAAATCGGCACAAAGGCCATTGCCCTCCAAGCAAACATAAGCAAGCCGGCGGAGGTCGTCGATCTCTTCGATCGCGCTATTGCTCACTTTGGCCGCATTGACTTCGTCATTTCCAACTCGGGCAAGGAAGTTTGGTGCCCGGAGACTGAGGTCACTCAAGAGCTGTTCAATGACATTTTCGACCTCAACTGCCGTGGCCAATTCTTTGTCGCCCAGCAGGGTCTCAAACACTGCGCGCGCGGTGGCCGCATCATACTGACGTCGTCAGTTGCTGCTTCCATGGGCGGCATTCACAACCATGCCCTGTATGCCGGCTCCAAGGCTGCTGTCGAAGGCTTCACGCGCGCCTTTGCCGTCGACTGCGGCGAGAAGGGCGTAACTGTCAATGCCATCGCCCCGGGCGGCGTGAAGACAGACATGTATGATGAAAATGCTTGGCACTATGTTCCTGGCGGCTTTAAGGGCATGCCCATTGAGACCATCGACCAGGGCCTTGCCAACATGAACCCCCTGAAGAGGGTTGGTGTGCCCGCCGACATTGGCAGAGCCGTCTCCGCCCTGTGCAGTGAAGACTGCGAGTGGATCAACGGTAAGGTACCCCAGGCTTTCCTGCGGTTATTGGTGACTAACGTTCGCCAGGCCAAGTTATCAAGGTTACGGGTGGTGGCACCTAAGCCTGGTCGTTTGGTCGCAGTGAATTCGGGCCCATGTACAAAACTGCACAAACCATGGAGAGACTTGCCGAGACAGTTGCATGGCAATGCCGCTCGTTAGGCACACCTCGCAAGATAGGTTCGTAGGTACTATGCATACATCTTGGGATCATAGCCAGATTCATGGTTTATCAAGCTTTGAAGGGCAAGTCGTTGCGGGTAGATTCTGCGCTGCCGCTCAGGCAAACACACATTGTCGCAAAGAAATAAATTCATGGCGTTCAAGAAAACTAAAAGTGATTGAACGGACTGAATCACGAACGTAGAAGCAGTGATCGTACACCAGGCAGGCTGGGGAAGCCATAGGTACTGGAGGGGTGGACTGATACCCGATACATACATAATCTCATATAAGCATGTTTAGGTCGAAATGACATAGGCGCAAAGTAAACTGACTGTACTGTAGTACTAGACACTGGAGCATCCACGTCGCGAAGCTCCAGGCATAGAATCTTCAACAGGTTTCGCAAGACCCGAGAGCCTCCAAATACCACTAGACCCTTGAACATTCTGCCTCAAAAATGCCCAGGTATGTCAATTGCATCTAGTTTCGCCCGCGTATCCCGCTTACGCCCCCGAAGGAGCTGTTCTGTGCACTCCAAACCGGCATCATGAGGGCGCATCTAGCCCGCCATGTCTATCGACGTGCCCTGGTCGCCAGAGGCTGCACACCCGCGAGCGCCCTACTGCTTGCACCATCGTCGTGTCGTTCCTATCCGATAGTCGCTCCTCCAACCCGGCGAACAACCCGGCGAACCTTCTTCGGCATCTTTCAGAAAGCCCCAAGACAGATCAAAAAGCCAGAGTACGAGCCAGGATGGACAGTCATCCTAACGTGGAGGAATCGGTTGCTCGACAATGTACGCCCACCTACACGCAAAGAGCTGGTCGATGCCTTTAGAGAGCTTTTCACCTACAAGCAGCGGTTCCATGTCACAGTCAACAGCACCCAAGCCCGACACTGCCGGAACCTGTTGAAATACCTGATCGAGAATAAAGATGACGAACCCGGCGAGGGCTTGTCACTGCTGGAGTTGACGGCTGCTCGCGATGCACTGCTTAAGGTTCCGAAGGAGGACACGTCCGAACATTTAGAGTTCTGCAAAGCACTCTATGCCGAGATTACAAAAGAGAGGGAGCTGGAATACGAGTACGAAGACACCCGGCCAATAGAGCTTGAAGAGGCAAAGCCGGCTGTGGAAGACCTGAAGGCATACATGTGGGCACTGACAACCTACGGCGCATCCAAACAGGCGCATCTCGAGCTACGAACGCACTGGGCACAGCTTCGGGCAGCAGGCCAGTCAACGCGGGATGCTAAAACCTTGTGGATCTACGTGTTCCGCGGCCTGGCAGCGGAAGGACGTGAAAAGGAACTACTCGAGGCCGCAGCAGAAGCCGAAAAGGGAGGTATGGAGTATACTCCAAGGTTTCAGGAAGCCATGACTACATTCTTCGCGACAAGAGACCGGATCAAGGAGACTAAGAAGTGGTTCTCCAAACCCATAACTGGTAACAAACAGCCCAGGCACGAGACATATAGAGAGATACTCAACTTCTCCATCCGAAACAGTCAACATGCCTGGTGCGACCCGATCTTTCAACAGCTCGTTGACTCGAATCCGAGCAAAGAGCACTGGGACGTGGTGTATCAATGGGCGGTCCTGTCAATGTCGAAGGGACTGGATGATTTGCGGAGCATGTTTGACGTAGTCGCGAAACACAATCCGGATGACCCGTCTATTTTGCCCGATGTCCATACGATCAACGGCCTGATTGAAGCAGCATCCGAAAAGAACGACCCTTACCTAGCCGACAGACTGCTTGCGTTTTCCAGCGAATACGGCATCAAGCCAAATGCCATGACATTCGTACTACAAATCGAGTCTCGCATCAAGGCCAAGGACTTAGCCGCTGCAAGGGAAGCGTACAAGCAACTAGCGAGGACAGAGCTGGAAGGCGAAGAGGATCTTCCAGTAGTGAACCGATACCTACAGGCTCTGTGCGACTTGCCTCAGCCAGATCTGAAGGCTATTCGAGAGATATTGGATGTCCTGGAGCAGCGCATTGTCACACTGGACCCCGACACCGTCGTTGCTCTGTGTACTGTCTATCTCAAATATGACCAACAGATGGACATTATCGACACCCTCTCTCTCAACATCTTCCAGCACAGCACAGACCAGAGGAAGTCTGTACGAGACGCATTTGTTTCGTATTGTCTGGATCGCAAGAACAGTACAGCTAGGGTATGGGATGCGTACTCAATACTGCGACAGTTTTTCCTGGAGACCAGCGTCGAAGATCGTCTCAAGCTTATGCAGGCTTTCTTTGACCGCAAGCGTCCCGACATGGCTGTGCACACCTTCGGTCACATGAGGCAACACGTGAACCGATCTTTTCATCCCTCAACAGAGGCGTACATTCAGTGCTTCGAAGGCCTAGGGGCGTGCGCCGACTCGGACTCGGAGGAACACGTCAGTTTGGTCCACAATATGCTCAAGATGGACCTTGGTATGCAGCCCACAACGAAGTTGTACAATGCCCTTATGCTCGCTTATGCAGCCTGTGGGCGGCCGTCACGGGCTTTGGATTTTTGGAACGACATCATTCGCTCCGTCGAGGGGCCATCATACAACAGTCTGGAAATTGTCTTCTCGGTCTGCGAAAGATTGCCCTATGGCGATCAGACCGCAAAGAAGATATGGAAGAAGATGGAGGCACAGGAGGTAGACGTGCCGCCATCCGTCTTTGCAGCTTACTTAGGCGGCATTGCCGGTAACGGCAATGTGACCGCGGTGCAAGAGGCGATCAAAACAATGCAACAGACTGTTGGATATGGTCCGGATCTCCTCATGTGAGTAACAACCCCATGAAGATATGTACTCTAGTAGACGAAAGCTGACCACCTCATAGACTAGGCGTGGCATACAACGCGCTGCCAGGCCAGGCGTTGCAGCGCAAGTTCGCGGAGTGGGCGAATGAGACACAACCCAAGGTGTGGGCGGAAGTGAAGAAGAAGCGTTACCAACGTGCCGCCAACGGTGTGACCAAGTACAAGCTACCACGTGTGCTGAGAGCATGACCATGTAACATTACATGTTTTAAAGATATCATTTGCATATGTGTACATATAGAGAGGGTAGATGCTACCCAAGGTGTTGTACATTTGGCACAAATTACAGACTGACCCCTCCGCCGTGCCTGATGTTTGCCATCTATTCCTACCACTTCTGGCCGCCTTGCAATCGCTTCATGATGATCTCAGGGTGGAAATGAACACTGGGGTGAATGCCCATACCGATGACTCTGCGGATTGCCTTGGCCATCCTCCTCTGGTTTCGTGGACGCAAACCAGTGTCCCTTGAGTTCTTGATCTGACCAAAAGAGGTCATGTACTCCGAAATCATGGAGAAGTTCTGGTCATTGTCAGCCTTGCGCCTTTTTCTGCTGCCAATGGAGCTGAGGCAACAAACCTTGTACATGTCCAAAGGGTTCAGCGACAGCAAATCCGTCACATCGTGCTTAGGAGCTGTCCTCTTCTTCCATCTAGCCAGTTGGTGAGGGTTCATGTCGTGCGGCGCGTAGACATCGCCGGTACGCCACTTTCGCGGCATCTGTTTCATATAATCGTCGCTCGTCTTGCGCTCGCGCAGCTGTTGTAGCTCGAAACGCTTGCGAGCTAATTGTGCCTCGCTCTGGGCGAACTTGCCGCCGCGAACGAGATTCTGAACGCGTTCAGCATTGTTTCCGGGAGCAGGTCGCTCGTCGAGGGTGAGAATGTCGAAGGCGGAGTTGGGTTTGGATTCTAGAGAAGGGGGTCAGAACACGGGGTATCCCGGAATGGTCCTCGTCACGTACGGCTAAGGGCGGGTGATGTGGAGAGAGGTCGTGCCAGACGACGGAGTAAGGCGGAGGGCGCGGTGACCGCAGGCAAGAAGGACAGTCTGGGAGGCATTGTGGCGGTCGTGGGTGGTGCAATTGAAGATAGACGTCTAAGGTCTGAAGCCGGGTCGCGATGGTTCAAGCTCTCCAGGCATTGTATTTTTGGGGCCCATATTAGTCCGACAGACCCACTTATTCTGTTCTGATAACGGCGGTTGACGATGGTGATAAGGATTTTTCTGCATCCCACTTGTAGCCGCAGGAACTACCACGCCCAGTCTCACGAACAATACCGCCGCGAAACACGAACGCATACAAAGAACGCAGCTTCTCTGTAGCCGGAATCTACATATCAAATCCTCGAGTGATTGACCGTCTGGTCGAACAGCCGCGAAAATGGGTCGCGCCCTCAAACATCACGAATCGAAGCTTCTTCGCAAAGTCGACTTTATCACATACAAGCAGGATAACGACCATCGCGATGCGAACATTCGAAGGCGGTACATGATCCAGAAACCAGAGGACTACCACAAGTACAACAGGATATGTGGAGTTAGTTGTTCCTTGCTCTGGTTAACCTCCACAAGCACATGCTAAGATCTGCTGTAGTCTATCCGCCAGCTCGCACACCGTCTGTCACTTCTGCCCCCCGAAAGCGCGGTCCGTCAGAAGCACGAAAAGCTTCTCCTTGACAAACTGTACGACATGGGTATTCTCTCCACAACAAGCAAGCTCTCCGCGGTGGAGAACGGCGCAACAGTCTCCGCCCTCGCCAGGCGGCGCATCCCCGTCGTGATGACGAGGCTACACATGGCACCCACGGTCCAAGCTGCCACAAAGGTGAGTTTCCAACTCGATCACGGCTTTCCGCAAGAATAATAATTTGTGTTAACATTTGCAGCTTATCGAGCAGGGCCACGTTAGAGTCGGCACCGAGACAATCACAGACCCGGCTTTCTTCGTGACGAGAAACATGGAGGATCTGGTCACATGGACCGCAGGCAGCAAGATTAAGAGAAACATCATGAAGTACAGGGACAAGCTGGATGATTTTGAGCTGCTATAAGAGGGCCGTGTGTGTTTGAGGTGGGTAGCGGAAGATGACGAGGAGCTACATCCTAAGGGGCAAACAGGTGGCACAACTTGGTCTGATCAGTACAACCGACCCAGCTCACTTAATTCCCTGAATGCAACAGATAATTATCAGTACCATGCTTCCATCTCAAGAGTACAATGGACTGTCTTTGCACGTTACCCATGTATTCATCCGTCATGAAGGCGGAAAGACCCAGCAGGGCACTTTAAATGTATGCATGTAACCGGTAATTGGCGATATTGCACTACTCTATCCAGTATGGTAGCCGATCTCGGTGGACTTTCAACCCATGGACATCAGTAAATCATTTCACTTTACATCCTGTCATAATTCACGATCCTTCTCATGTTTGTTGTTTTCTTCAAAGAAGTCTCATTCCGAAACCAAAGTTTCGACAAGGCATGGTGTGTTGCCGTATCAGCTTGTACGAGTGGTAACGTCATTGACCCCGGTACGCATCGCTCTCATTCGAGGATCGCGGAATTGTCACGATGACCACCGAGGTCAACAATGAGAAGGGTCCCGCCTTCAAGAACTACAAAGGCTTTGTGGCTGGTGTTTTCTCAGGCGTTGCAAAGCTGACTGGTCAGTATTTCGGTCTCCTAATGATAGCCTATTGATTAATGAGTTGTATAGTCGGTCATCCCTTTGACACTATCAAAGTCCGGCTTCAAACGACAGACGCCAGCCGCTTCGCGGGGCCTCTTCAATGCGTCGCTCAGACCATTCGAAATGAAGGAGTCCTCGCCCTCTACAAGGGCGCCTCGCCGCCGCTTGTCGGCTGGATGTTCATGGATTCGGTCATGCTGGGTTCCCTGACCGTCTACCGGCGCCTGCTTTCTGAGAATGTCTTCCACGTCTCCGATTTCCATCCAGGCGCGCCACTCAACTCTGGCAAGAGCACGCTGCCTTGGTACGGTCACGGGATGGCCGGGATTATGGCCGGTGCGACTGTCAGCTTCATCGCTGCGCCTGTGGAGCACGTCAAGGCGCGCCTGCAGATTCAGTACGCCGCCGACAAAGCTGGCCGGTTGTACAGTGGACCTATTGACTGCATTCGGAAAATTTGGAACATTCACGGCATCAAGGGCATCTATCACGGTCTTGGATCAACACTGCTATTCCGCGGCTTCTTCTTCTGCTGGTGGGGCAGCTACGATGTTTTCTCGAGACTTCTGCGGGAGAAAACATCGTTGAGTGCGCCAGCGGTCAACTTCTGGGCGGGTGGGCTGAGCGCGCAAGTATTCTGGCTGACGAGCTATCCGTCGGACGTCGTGAAGCAGAGGATCATGACAGACCCGCTAGGAGGAGGACTGGGTGACGGCGTGAGGCGATTTCCGCGCTGGCGAGATGCTGCAGCCGCAGTGTGGAAGGAATCCGGGTGGCGAGGGTTTTGGCGCGGCTTCTTGCCCTGTTTCTTGAGAGCCTTCCCGGCGAATGCGGTGGCGCTCGTCGCATTCGAGGGCGTTATGCGATCGTTGCCATGATTCTAAGAATGCTGGAAACGAGTCTGGCCCATAGAAATGTACCATTAGGCGATATGATAGGGGCTTGCTGTTTTTACACAGCAGGCAGTGTGACGGAAAAAAGAATACCCCTCAAACACACATGTCATTTCAAGATCAAAGAAAGAATGGTTTGGTCAAAAGTATTGGCAGGTCAAGCGCACGCCAAGGTGCTAGCTTTTGATTTGGTTTTTAAGGTATCCTGCCACACCTCATGCTCGCCCATCCAGGCACTCTTTTTTTCCCTGACTGTTGTCCGAAGAATCATGAAGCGCATTTCGTCGTGAACATTTACTCATCATCGTCCTCAGCCTCGTCGTTGACGACGTTGTAGAACTTGAGCGTGTAGACACCCTTGGAGGTGGCAACGACGCGGAGCCAGTCACGAAGCTGCTGCTTCTTGAGGAACTTCTTGGTCCTGTGCAGGGCAATCTGTTAGCCGGCTTGCTAGGCAACAAAAGTTGGTCCTCTGTAGATACGTACAGGTACTTGAGGTAGCGGCCAGAGAGGTCGTTGTGGGAGACAATCTCGACCTTGCCGTCGGCAGAGGAAGAGATGGTGATGTTGTCTCCGAGGTTGTTGACACGGCCCTCAACCTTGATGCGGTCCTGGAGGAACTTCTCGAAGGCAGCGACATCGAAGATCTTGTCGTTGGCGGGCTGAGAAGCATCAATGATGAACTTCTTGGTGGACTTGGGGCCCTTGGTGCCCTTCTTGGTCGCCTACGGAGAACATGATCTTAGCCTACTGTTTCACGCCATGGTCTCGGGAAAGAGACTGGGCCAACAGCAAAGCGATGGTTCATGTACATACTGCTTGAGGAGCCATTGTGATGGATTTGAGGGGGGGGATGAGTACGCAAAGAGGTAAGAATCCTGCGTATGTGTCGAGTGTCGTGGGATGATGATCAAGACTTCTTGAATGCGGGATCGCGGGACAAAAATTCGTGTGGGATTGGGAAAATGCCCAAAAAGTTCGACAGGGGGCGGACTCCACCAATCAGGGCTTCGTGGTTTTGCCGTATCGCCGACTGACCGAGAGCATGGCCCCTCCATAACTCGGTGTGTTCGGTAACCCGGACGAGGGCAATGGAACGAGCACCCCGCCTCATAAGGCTGCGCTAAATCCTGGCTGTTTTGGCCCCCACGATCCCCCGACTTCGAACCATATACAAAATACGATCTCTATTGGACTCAACCCTTCACCCGCTCTGCTGGGGCGGCATGTGGTGTTTCTCCGCCAAGTGCTTCTGTCACGATCGCCTCTGACAGCAAATTGGCGTCTCGGCCCAGTGTGTATCTCGTTTCGACTGAACGGGTTAACAGCTCGGACAAGTATCAATGCCGAGCTGGTGATGTCCATAAAGGCGGGCCCCGGGGCTTGAGTTTAGACATCGGCATTGTGTTCTTCTTTAGGCAAGAGCGTCATTGCCTTGGGCCGCGAACCTTGGACATCGCAATTTTCTAGCGCTCCAACCCTGCAGCAACGCGACGGAACATGTGTGAAGTCGTGCGACCAGGATTTCCGAGAGTGGGCACCAATCACTTGATAGCACATCACTGAGTGCTTTAGGGACGCATTGTCAATCGGCTCACCGAGGCCAAATTCGGATAATCTGGAGTCATACCCAGCGCTTCCGGTTGATTTCAGCCTGCCAACGAACGTTCCCCACGATATCTGGCATGCCACGCGGACCATCGGCGAGGCCGAGAAGTCAGTGGACGAGCGTTAAAATGTGGCAGGCTTCGGCGTCCTTAGTCGAACTTTGAATCGCCTTCCTATCGAGGAAGCGCGGCAGTTCATTTCATGCCGCAGTGACGATGTCATTTGGGGCTGGCCAGAACCTGACCCGTGGCCCTGGGGTCGGCGCCCTAGCGGCTTCCTTCCCGCAGCAGCACCATCAGCGAGCCTGGCTCGCCGATGCCTCTCGGGCCAGGTATGTGAAGGATTGGACGCTTGATTGTCCTCGAGTCAGGTCTTCTCTAGAGGGACCGTTGCATCGGCATCAGCCCAAAAGCTTGGGACCAAGTGCCGGAAAGTCTGCTGTCTGGATCATCTCAGGCACAGGCCACTACGGCAAGGCATGATGTCTGAAAAGAGTTGGACAGCGAATCGTGCCACTCACAGCTGCCCGATGCCTTGGGCCCCTCCCTGGTTGACACCCTCATGCAGGTCAGCAGAGTAGCTCCAGGCTGCGGGCTTTCGCCGCGGCGACGATCCCGAAGACGGCATTGTGTCGAAGTGAGCAGGCTCCGGGCACATGCCTATTGGCTCAGTGTTCCATTGAAGGTGGCACTGAGGGCTCTACAAACCTTGCTTCATCATGACGGTCACGGCTGCCCACACACCCACCATGCTTTTGAGAATCGCCAGGCGACCAGTGAGCACGTTGCCGTATGATTGTTATTTGAGTCCCGGCTGCTCCAACAAACCGTGTCGCAGCCACTGCTGGTGTACTCGATTGCCTCTTGATCAGTCATCTTTGTAATGGTGTGAACACGACCCCTCAAGAGAAGCCCGGTTCGGACCCTGGCTAGCAACAATCGTTTCAAAGGGTTGGGCGTGGTACGAAAGAACGAGAACACTCATCAAATCGAACTGATTCCAAGCAAAGAGTAAACTTCCCAGCTTGCAAGACTGAAACTCTCGTTCTCTACTCTGGAGCCATGATGCGTATTGCCATTGCCGGGGCCGGCTGGTTGTCCAGCCTGCTCACTCTTCACATTTCACAAACAGGCAACCCAGTTCTCATACTGTCGAGAAGTGTAAAGTCCCTCTAGCCCGAGCTCCTACGTGTTCTTTGAAATGCAGACGCTAATCGTAGCATAGGCGCGACCAGACTTTGAGGCCGACTTCGATTGCCAAGTTGCCGTGGTTGATTATGACGATGCAACTGCTATCCAGTTTGCTCTCCAGGGCGTAGATCTCGTCATTAGCACTTTTCGCGGCCCCGCACAAATCAACCTCATCCACGCCGCACGACGGGCTGGCGTTCGCCATTTTGTACCGGCAGAATTCGAAGGTGGACTCGCTCATAGACCAGCGACAGACGACCCTTTAGACTATGGATCCTCAGAAGCGCTGGACCTTCTCCGAACGTATGCCGGGGCGAAGTCTCGGATCTTTCAGTGGACGGTGTTCTCGTGCGGAGTTTTCTATGAGCGGTTCGGCCCTGGAGGTCTTGGAGCGTACGGCATGGGCGCATCGAGCAACTTAGCAAACCAGGGCGATTACCTTGTCGATGTTGGAGCGGGGACAGCAGACATTGTTGAGACAAGTTCCTCCGGTCGACCAGTCCAAGTGTGTCTGATCAGTATGGACGACTTGGCTCGTTTCGTTGCCGCAGCCATTGAGCTTGGTTTGGCATCATGGCCCAGAGAATTCAAGGTGCGAGGTGATCGCTTGTCGACTCGTGATATTTTTGCGGCCTGCAGCTACGTTCTCGGAGGTACGACGAGCCTATTGATTCTGACAATGGAGGCCTGAGCTAATGTTTCCTCGCAGGGGGTCTCACCCTTCGCACCCGCAAACAGTCGAGGCTCGAGCAGGAACAGGCCCAGTGTGCGTCAACCCAGGATTGGACGCAGTGGCACTATATTCAACAATTACGCGCGACCGCTGACCGGCGATACGACTTTGGACACGCGAACCTCAACGACGTAATCGCGCGTGCTGATCCCAGCGTCCAGCCTGTGGGATTTCGTACATGGCTGGCGACACAGTGGGCACCAGACACCTAAGGATCGTCTGAAGATTGCCGTGCTATTGGAGAGGGAGATTGTGAATGTTCGGGGCCTCGTCTTAATGATACCTTTTCCTTCCCCTTGAGTTTCAATTCTCTGATGCGTGCGGCCCGGAAACAGCGCGAGATTGAATCAATTCTTGTCGGGCCGTTGAACCGGCTCGGGGACCCGGTTTACCATCAGTTATATCACACCCACCCACGTTGCTCTCTGCTTTGTGTTGGACCTCGCCGATGAAGCAGCCTGCTACTGGGCCCAGTGGCGGAGGTGTCGTCATAACCATTTGATTTGCTCTGGCGAAGCATGGGTGTGAGCCACACCTTATTTCGTCTGATGTGTGACGTGCTCACTCCTGTCGATCAGACTGCCTGTATCTTTGGCTGACGAGCAGGATCTGCCAATTTTAGCCCCCAATGAACATCTAATTTCTTGTTATATCTTGGCATGTCCAAACGACACATGTACCCAACGAGCGATAGCCGAGAGCTCAAAAGTTGGAGTTGATACGCAATCATGCACACAGTACCTTACCTACGCGAACAATGAGCCCGAATACGAGACTGAGGTGTCCTTTAAATTCAAGCTTATCTATTGAAAGTGCGCAGTGTGCTGACCTCCTCCCTGATCTGATGATTCCAGTGCAACAATGGTGGTCGCCCCGACTTCGACAGGACGGCGAGCCCTTTTGGCCTCATGGCTCTGCCTTGCCCTTTCTCTGGTCTGCCTCGATATCTAAGCTACGAGCCTGAATATCCCCTGGTTCATCTCCTAGTTCGTCCCCATACTCCGTCACGATCCACAAGCAGAACTCCTCCCACGCCGTGGCCCACTGCTTCAGCCTCTGCGCCTTGATGCCGCGCCCCAGACTGGCCTCCCGCACTCCAGCGCCCCAGGCCTTGGCATCTTCGTCCTCGAACGCCGCCCATCGAACCCCGTTCTCCGCCAGTGCGCCCAAGCCCTCGATCCCGAGGCCGCCCCAGCCCTGTAGCAGCTTCCAGTAGTCGTGAGACGGCCCGACCGCACCGGCGCTCCTCAGCGCAGAAGGACAGTCGCTTCCCAGCGCGCACGGCACGCCCCGTGCGATGAGCGCCGGTAGCGGGTTCGTCCTTTCGAGTTCGGAGATGCGAAGGAGTTCGCTGCCGAAGGGACTGGTCTCGATCAGGATACGCTTCTCCTTGACGAGGTCGACAAGGAGGGGGTGCCGGTGCAGTTCTTGGGCGCTGCCGAGACGGCGGGTTCCTAGCAGAATAGCGTCGTAGAGGTCCTCGTCAGCCAGTATCCGCCGGCGGCTAGATCCTCGCCAGCGTGGAACAGGAAGGGGACTTCGACGCGCTCCTGAGCACACTGCTTCTTGAACCAGAAGAGGAA